CTGGCAGCATCCTCGCCTGGTCTTTTCTACTTTTTACACCTCCTCCCGTTGCAGTCCTGCCCCCCCCGCAGCCGGAGAGAGCTGTTCTGCTGGGCCGACACGGGACTGGGTGCGCAGCAGAGTGAGGACCAGCAAATCTCATTGTGACCGAGTACTTACCAGGAAAACATTTTGGAGAAAAAAATGTACTGCAAAGATACTTAAAATAGAGCTGATTAATAAAGGAGAGAGACAAATATCCCAAGGTGTGCTTGTGACTCAGTTTCTGTGAGGGAGCTGGAGCTTGGAGAATGACAAGAATGTGACCAGAGCAGGCAGTGACACCGTGTCCCTGCTCCCCAGAGGAGCAGAGCCCTGGATTCCCTTGGTGCTCTCACCCCTTCCCTTCACAGGGACTGCCAGGGGGCAGAGAGTTTGGCAGTTTGGGGACTTCCCTGACTCTTGGGGCCCTGGGAGTGGGCCAGGGCAGCTGGGAAGGTGCTGGTGCCAGCAGAGCTTGGGTGTCTCTTCCAAAGCAGCATCACCCCAAGACCTGGTGGCCCTTCCTCCTAAGAGTCCTGGGAAGGAGTAAGCCTCCCCTGGAGGAGGAAGGCCAGCAGCTCGGTTGGCCTTTCTCGAGCTGTTTTGGAACCCAAGCAGAGGTGATTTTCTGGGGAAGGCGTCCCCAGTGCAGGTGGCAGCAGTGGGGCCGGGGCCAGGCACTGGCACCGAGCAACTCGCCCGGACTGTTTTTCCTCCTCGGCTTGGCCGGGCAGTGCAGCGCCTTTCATCTCACAGGAGGGTTTATCTCGGGACTGGTGTGTCGGGGTTAATGGCTCATCCTCACTGAGGGTTGAGCCAGCAGTGTCTGCCTCCAGGATCCTGGGCAGGAGGGGTGGGTGGCAGCAGGAAGGTCCTGGCTGAGCCTGCGTGTGCCCATCAGCTCGCCCAGCATTGGGGAAAGGCTTTGCTGTTTAGTCACCAAAACAGACCTGGAAAACCTTCTCCTCCTACCATGGCTGTGGCAGAGGGTTCCTCACTCCCCCTGCGCTTGGGGGTGATTTCTCACAAGTGAGCAGTGCTCGGGTGGGTTTTGTGGGCAAAGCTGACACCTGCCTGGCAGGGACTTGGGGATGTGCCTGCCGTGGTCACCACACAGTTAACGCGGTGGCTGTTCCCTCTCAGACTCGTTTGGAGCTGGTTGGGTCAGAAGTGGAACGAGTTTGGTGGTTTTCGCTGGGGCCATTGCTCTGTGTGACGTGACAGTGACCAGGCTGCTGTGCCTGGCCAGGGCGAGAGCGAGGGCGGTGCAGGGACAAGCCCTGGCCAGGAGGCCGAGGTACAGATGCTATTCCTGGCTGTCCTTCCCTCCGGGCAAGGGGCTGGTCCTCACCACTGTCCACTCTCCCAGCTCCACCTTTGCTGGGGATGATAGGGCAGAGCTCTGCTGCAGGACCAGCACTGGCTGCAGCCAGGGACAGCCCCAGGGCTGTGTCTGCCTGAGGATCCAGGCTGGCTCCTGCTCCCTTCTTTGTGCCACTGAGCCACCACTGCTGTTTTCCTGTGGGTTGGGTGGGGGTTGATGAGCAGCTGGAAGTGGCAGGGGGGCAACCACGGCACCCCCCACCGCAGGGCAGCCAACCCCTCCTGTCCCGAGCCAAGTCCATCATCAAAGCTCCAAGACTCATTCCTGTTCCATACCATGAACACAGCTTTAATTGTCACTGGTGCTCAGACACAAACAACCTGCTGGTGGGTCTCATCCCTGCAGAGAGGTCATTAGCAGAGCCCTGGCCCCTGCTCACAGTGTCCACACTCCCCAGCTCCACTGCACTGGCTCTGCCCCAGCAGGACAGTGGGCCACAGCGGCTGCATCTGGAGAATTTGCCTTCCACACCCATCCTCGCTGTGCATTAAAAATTAAACAATAAATAGCAAAAAAATAGATATGTACATAAATAAAGGAATCCTTTTGTGTTTGTTTTCCTACAGGCCTGTCCGGAGCTGCCCGTGGAGCTCAGCCCACGAGCATCGGGAGGAAGTGTGTGGAGAGATGCTGCCGGCGCGTCCTGCCCCCTGGCTGTGGCCTGCCCTTGCTG